CATGTTTGTATTTTTCTGAGTATTGAATGCTTTCTTCTGCTTACTGCTTGTATGCTTCCCCATACTTTAGAATTTTTTCAACTTTTTTCAAATATATCCTGCAAATCACTTTGGGGTAGTACACCTCGGATAAGCGCCACTTCGGAATTATCATCAGGTAGACACCTCGGATCAACATAACCTCGGTATTTTATTTCTATAAATGTGCTCTTTAATAGAGGTATTCAAGTGTTTCTTCCTCATTTGTACTTGCCTTCTTTTATTCATGCTTCTTCTTTCCCAAGCTAGTTGGTCACCTTGGATGATTATATTTCGAAAACGTCTTTCGGTGTAATCTCAGCTATAACAAACTTATAAATTGCTAAAAATTTTCAACAAGTGTTAACATTCCTTGCTTATTCTTTCTTCTTGTCTACTAATGTAACCATAAGTTGCACAGACCCTTTCAAGCCGATGTGTTCTTCTTTTTACTCTTGTATGCTTAATAATTTCCATGTCTTCAAAATACACTCTAACTGTGCAATCTCCTTGGGGTGTAATACCTCGGTTGTACCCACTAATCGATTTTTCCCAGCCTTGGCTTAACACTTGAAAATAATATTTTCACAAGTGTTTATTTACAACTTGATACTCCACTTTTAGCAAGACTTCTGTCTTCAAATTTCTTCCAAGTCTCGGAAATATGGTAATCCCGGCAAGTATGTAGATACTTCTTTCAACATAACCTTGGCTTAACTTGTAAATTTTTATCAAAAATTTCAACAGGTGTTTAAACCAATCTTTTTTCCCAGCTTAACTTCAACTTGTAAATTCTCTCAGAATTTCAACAAGTGTTAATCTTCGTTTCAGTTTAACTTCAACTTGTAAACTTTTCTCAAGTTTAAACAAGTGTTAAACATTATCTCGGCTTAATTTCAACTTGTAAACTTTTCTCAAGTTTAAACAAGTGTTAAACCTTAGTCTTTAACTTGTAAACTTTTCTCAAGTTTAAACAAGCGTTAAACATCATCTCGGTTTAACCCTGCTTGTAAACTTTTCTCAAGTTTCAACAAGCGTTAAACATCATCTCGGTTTAACTCTGCTTGTAAACTTTTCTCAAGTTTCAACAAGCATTAAACATTATCTCGGTTTAACTTCAACTTGTAAATTGCTACAAATTTCAACAAGTGTTAAACATCATCTCGCTTTAACTTCAACTTGTAAATTGCTACAAATTTCAACAAGTGTTAAACATTATCTCGGTTTAACTTCAACTTGTAAATTGCTACAAATTTCAACAAGTGTTAAACAATAATCTTGGTTTAACTTCAACTTGTAAATTGCTACAAATTTCAACAAGTGTTAAACAATAATCTCTCTTCTCTTTGCCCTCTGCATGGCTTTCACATGCTCTTTTGTGGACCTTATAAAAGGTCTTCAACCTGGCTAACTGCAGTCTGACCTTGTATGTTTTCTTTTTATCTTCTGGGATCTGAGATTTGCTCACTGAGCTCTTCTCTTCTCAGGTTAAGTGTCGAGGTCTTGTCTGCTGGAATCTTGGATCTGCTCTCTCAAGTTTTGCTCTTCTCTTCTCGGACCTACTCATCTAGGCCGAGATCATGCCTTCTGGGATCTGGGATCCAGGATCTGAAATCCGAGATCTGCTCACTTAGGCTAAGCTCTTGTCTTCTCGGACCTACTTATTTAGGCCGAGATCTTGTCTTTTGGGACTCGGGATCTAGGATCTGGGATCCGGATCCAGGATCTGGAATCCGAGATCTGCTCACTTGGGCTGAGCTCTTCTATACTTGAATGTCATCTCCTTAGGAGCACTCATGCCCCCTATCTTTGCATCCCTTCTGGAAGGGTCTTCACTCCGTTTATGTCGACACATTCTCCATCTTTGCTAAACTCGTCGTTTTTGATACGTTGATCTTGTACAGTGATGGCCATCTATTATCCTTTCTTTTCCACAAACGGCGCCAAATTGTCTAAGTGATTTTCTGACCACACTGCCAACTTACTACTCAACTGGAAAATACCGACAGAATAGATTAAGCCCGAACGACCTGCAACAGAAAGAGAAGATTCTGACGGTGGCTCGTCCACCTGGAGGTACTCTGACGATCAAGTCAGTACTCAATATCTCTCAAAGAGAACCAATAGTGCTTAACTCACTAGACCGAATATCAAAAGCATCAAAGACATACCTTAGACCCATGAGGGTACTTTTTTTTTTTATAGCCAACATAATTCTAGTCCCAATAGAAGCCTAGCTCCAATGGACTTAGGATTACTGCTAATCTTGGACTCCCAGTTGAATTAGGATAAACTCTCTAAGAGTCTTATCTTAATCCAAACTAAAGTCTTCTCCCATTCTAGGACTCTTGTCCCGTATCCGCTTATCTCAGATTCCGGTATTCTCGCGGATAACCTCGGCCTAACCGAGATCATCTCGGCATCATGACCAGGACACGTGACACCTCGGCTGACACTTCGGTGTCACCTCAGCCACGTGTTGTCATTCAAAAATTATGTCCCCACAAAAATAATCAAATCTGTGATTCTTTAGACAGGAGAATGACTTCTATGTGAAAGTTGTAAAAAAATATTGTAAAGAATGACAAGCTATAAAAGATATGAAAAAGGCATATATGGACTGTTGTTGTTGTTCAAAAATAGTAGGTATGATAGAAAGCTATGGTTGTGATAAAAAATCCAAACTATTGGCTAAAAAGAAGAAGTTCGTGAAAAATGAAAAAAAAAAATCAGAAAAAAAATAAATTAATCCTTATAAAGAAAAACAAAAACCTTGGGGTAGATATAAATCTAATAATAAAAAATAAATAAACAAAAATAAATAAATAACAAAAGGAAAATCTTCTGAAGAATGCAAATGTTGGGTTTGTGGAGAAAAAAAAAATATTTTGCAAACAAATGTCCTAACAAAGAAAGAAAACAACATGTTAAGCAATTATTACTTTCTTAAAAAAAATATAAACCAGTATAGGGATATGAAATAGAATTTGACAATGAAGTAAAAGAACTTATGTCAGAATTTCAATATAATTCTTATGAAAACGATATACAATGCTTAAAAGAAGCTTTAACTGAAACTATTTTTATGCTGAAACTATTTTTATGATGAAAATATATTCAGATGATGATAATGAAATGATCCTTCCTAAGAAAAGAGAAAGTAAACCATTTGAAATTGAAGAACCAGAATTTTCCGTAAATGATTGGAAAATGTCAAAAAATTCAATTAAGGAAATTTATAAAAACGCCATCTTCAAACCTCAAAGTAAAATGAATGTAGAAATATTTGAAGGAAGAACTTCAGTTGTTAATATAAAAGAAACGTCTGTAGATATACCATTGTTTGATATGAATAAGATCAAACAATATCATAATAAAAAATATAATTAAGTTCATTTAGGACTTATACAAGTTAGTATATGTCCTTTATTTTCAGGCGGAACACATATTCCTGTGTTAACATATGTCATGGATAATAGATGGCATAGTTTTGAAAATTCCTTAATCAGAGGAATTCAAAGTAATTTGTATAATAGACCAATTTGGTTCACTATCAAACCAAAATATTTCTTGGCATTAGAAGATCCTAATCTTAATCGAGCATTAGGATTGACGATAAAAACTCAAGGTATGCAAGACTTTGATACAAGAAGCAAAAACATTGCCTACTAATTACAGGCTTATGTATAGATTGATTAATATAATTAATCCTCTTAGTAAACATGTACTTGAAGTAGAGCTATTTGAAAAAACGAGTGGTCACGGTCATGAATTTTAATCTAAAAAGGTTAATGTAAAACAATTATCATGACCTAAGAAATGTGTTCTTGAAGAAACTCCAGATCAAATAAAACTCAAAAATTTAACAATTCGAGAAAGTAGAGGTGTTGTTTATCTAGAAGAAATTCATTTGTTTTTACTAGATCTGATTTTACAAGTAGCCTAGAAAGAATAAAAAAAAAAAGATAAGGCTATCATTGAAGAATCTACAGTAAAAGAATCTTGTGTACAAGAAAGTTTAGATGAAAAATAATAGGATACAAAATAATAAATATCCATATTACCATTGAATCGTTTTCAAAGATATCGATCAAAGAATACCAAAACCTAAAAATAGTTTCTCTCGATAATCTCTCCATCACTTTAAATGCCAAATTAAATGAACAAGGATTATTCAAAGAGGAACTCTAAAAAGGAGTAGAAGAAAAAATACAAAAAATAAACGAAGATAGGAGTAAAAAATCTTATGAAATTTTTGGAAAAATTGTTGAAGTTAGATCGACAAATTCATATGTTAAATTATTGTCTAACTTTTCGAGCTATCATTCTTACACTATTGATGCAGTAGTTGGCACTGGTGCTTCATACAATTTGGAAAAACCTAGAGTATTACCTCCAGACAAATGGGTTTTAGCTGAAAAACCAATTGTATTAAAATTGGCAAACAGTCAATCAATAACAATGAAAAATGAAAGTTATCATGTTCATTCTTAATAAAAATGAATTTATAATGGATAGAATAATTCAATTTCCATTTTTAGAGGGAGATTTTTTAGTTGGCAATGCATTTTTAAAACAAGAAGAAAAATAAACCTTTTCTTCAAGATTATAGCGATTCTGGTTTAGACGCAACCCATTTGATATTCTAGATCCAAGTTTTATTGTCTTATACGATTGTTCATGTCACGCCCCAAACCTGCCCCTAGAAGTTTGGGCATGACCATTTCAAAAAAACGGACACTTAACCTGTTATATATAACATATGGGGCCTGAGTGGAAGCATAAATTTTATATAATAACATGCAAGGAAAGAGCTACATCCATTGAGCGACCACTATCATGCCAGGATCACAAATAGACAGATAATAATAGTTACATACACATATACAACCCCGCCCGTGTTTGGGCGTATAATAAAAAAGAAACATTAGAAGTTACAACATATTATAGACAATCAGAATCTAAGCCAAAACTTCACCAAATGGGTAGGCTTCACCCAAATGCTTGGACACACAGAGGCTAACAAGGAAGACGAGCATTAAAAGTTTAGGCTGACCTCCAAATGCAGGACCTACGGAATCAGACAAAATACATAGTGAGATAACCTCAGTGAATAATAGTACGTGAATAACTCAATGTTCAACTTGAATTATAATGCAAATCAGAGTTTATATAATATAAAAGATAGGTAGTTAATCTGATTTCGTACTAATGTCAGAACGGTCTTGTTGGTTCACAAATTCACAGACTGACCCTTGGCCTGGTGGGTTCACATACTCACAATTAGCCTTTGGCTTTATAGATTCATAATTGAGATTCAAACTTGGCCCTTGGCCCTTTGAATTCATAGTTTCACACGTTGGCCCTCGGCCTCATAGATTCATATTTTCACAAGTTGGTCCTCGGCCTCATAAGTTCACAAATTCACAAGTTGGCCCTCTGCCTCATAAGTTCACAAATTCACAAGTTGGCCCTCGGCCTCATAAGTTCACAAATTCACAAGTTGGCCCTCGGCCTCATAAGTTCATAGATTCACAAGTCGGCCTTTTGCCTCATATTGGTGAAACTATGAACCCTCGGCCTCATAAGTTCATAGATTCACAAGTCGGCCTTTTGCGTCATAAGTTCATAGATTCACAAGTCGGCCCTTTGCCTCATAAGTTCATAGATTCACAAGTCGGCCCTTGGCCTCATAAGTTCATAGATTCACAAGTCGGCCTTTTGCCTCATAAGTTCATAGTTTCACCAATATTCATAATTTCACAAGCTGGCCCTCGGCCTCATAAATCATACAGAAACACATAGTTCCTTCCAATTATTCACATGAGGTAACATAGTTACGTTATGTTACGTTCAACAGAGTGCTAATAACAACTATTACCAGATTGAACTTCATAATGCAGTCACATCCCATTTGTTTGTCATGAATTACTACCTCTAGTTCACAGATAACAGAATGTTATTACATATTAAACGAGTCCAGAGATATGCAGATACCATAATCTCGTAATACACTTAAATTCCCCTTGTTCGTTATAAATCCATACAACTGACTTACAGATAACAGTGTGTTAGTATCCATTATCAATAATAAACAGAACGTAGTACCCAGTAATGCTCTTAGATTTTCCCATGGTTTCTCATAAGGTGACATAATTGTCCCACAATAATAGAACAACACTACTAACAATAAACAGAAGGTAAATGCTCCATTACATTAATAAGAGTGGAGCCATTCACTTCATAACATGGGTCACATAATCGTGTTATTGACATTCAATTCTTTCTCCGGATTGAGTCATTCAGAGGTTCATCTAATATTTAACATAATTTCATAATGGTTATTTAACGTACAAACAACCTGTAGTCGTATCCAATTATTCGTTCTGATGATCCACTCTAGGTAGATATCTGTATCATGTTAGTGTGTGCCAAATCCTTCAATGTTTACATAAGTTCACACTAATTCTCGTTCCACATACATGTTAACTTAATTGACCACGGGGAACAAGATGTTAATAAGAATCGTTATTAACGGTAAATAATGTGCATTAGAGTACTATTACTCACAGTGCTATAACGGAGTGCTCGTCCTTCTCAGGTTATGCCCTACACGTGTACACAACTTATACAGTAAGGCATCAAAAACAAATTCCAGAAATACCAGAGGGTTAAGCACGTAAAACAGAGCAAACAATATTTTGCAGCATGAAGTTTCAAACCAACTTCTCAAACTCAATATATATATATATATATATAAGATTACTAGTCTTACAAAACACATTATGGAATTTACACCCATTCATCTTCTACTCAAAGAAAGAAAGGATTTTTATGAACATTTCCATGTTCCCCAAAACTCCTTAAATTTCTAGTGTTTTCAACAAAAACCAAACATTTCCCCATCCCCATAAGAAATCCTATTAAATCATTCTCTTGGTTTAATAACTAAGCAAGCCTACAAATATTTAGTAAAATGATTTGGGATTAAACCCATTCTTGAAAACTTCACATTTTAGGTCACAAAAATTAATATCAACATAGTTAATATCAACCTACATAATCACCACAATTCAACATATCTCAAAAGGAATTCTTAAATTCCATTTCAACATTCCATAATCGAATTTATATCATCCACATTATCAATAAATCTTTTCCCCCAATTTCCCTTTTATTAAAACATAATTTACAATGCATTTAACAAAGTTCAATCGCAAAATTTAAACATAATTTTCAAACATAACCAAATTCCAATTAAACTTGAGCACATCTAATTCAACCTATCACTTTCATGATTCAACTATCAATTTGGGCCAAATCATGGATTATCATCAAAAATCAATCTAGGGTTTCTAAGAAATCTACAAATTTCAAATACAATTTTAAATCTTCTTAACCCATTACTTTTTATTCCAAATCTTCTCATTTATTAGGTACCCTAGGTCCATAACCCATAAACCATACTCTAAACCTCATAATAGAACCCCAACATACCCCAACATACCTCAAAAATTTCGGAATTCCATTCGGTAGAAAGTGGTGATCTCCTCTTATTCTCCACCCTTGATGCAAGATTCATGGTTAATTTGTTGAGAAAAGTGGAGGAAATCAAGGTTTTGGGAGCTAGGGTTTCGGACATGGAAGAGGGAAGAAGAAGAGAGGAAAAGAAAATCTAAGAAATGACTCAAAAATCACGTTTTTGAGCTGCTGCCCCACACATCGCCGCACGTGCGCCGCATTTCCCGCACGTGCGGTTCTGCTTCCAGCACAGATATGAAAACTTCAAACAGGCGTAACTCTCTCATACGGATTCCGTTTTAGGTCATTCTTGTGCCCAAATTGAAGCCCCAAAAATAAGCTTTCCAATGGTTCTAACGTCACATCCAAATTCCAAGTGTGGAACAAGAAAAGGGCAAAAGAGTGACGGTTGGTCGTAAACGAATTATTCAAATTAAAGTTTTTGATCCAATCTTACTTTACCATCTTATTACCACCACAATCAATAGCCCAAAATAAAATAGGGAGGTTCCAAATACACTAATAAAAATGCCACAGATATAAATCACTTTTCACAGAAAGCAAGTAAATGCACAGAATAACAGATCGAAAATATACTAGAAACAGATATGAGGGTCGGGTTATTACAGTTCATGTCTTATTTCTCCTTATTTCTCATTGAGTTTGGTTATTGGAGCATCTTGGCTGCGTTTGGAACAGGTCGAGAGTTAGTTTTTCAACATCGTTCCTGCCTAGATTTTGGCTTCTTTGCTCAAGTGAAACTTCTTACGCTCGAGTGGTCTTTGAGAACTCTTAGTACTTTTACAGGCCTGCAAAGATATTGGGAATTGGCATTCTACGCTCGAGCAGTCATTCTTACTCTTGAGCGGCCCTTCTTGAGCTCGAGTGATGGTCCTCTATCTATAAAACTTCTGGGAGTTTGTATTCTTCACTCGAGTGGTAAACTTCTTCGCTCGACCGGTCTCACTTATTGTTTCTAGTTGCTCAAGCGACATTTCTTATACTCGAGTGGTCTGCACATATATCAATTCGTAAAGTCACATTTTTGGCTCACTTTTTCATATCCCTCTCTCTCTCTAAACTTTCCAAAAATGCTAAATCTAGAGCCTCTCTCTCTCTAAAACCCACCTTCTCTCTACAAATACACCTAGATCCATTGATTTCTTCACCCGTGTCCCCTTGATAAAAAAAAAGTGAACACTCCGCGAGCTTCATTTTGATCGGACTAAAGTTAGATTTCGGCATTGTTGAAGCTTCTCCATTCCTTCTATTGTCTTCTAAGCTCGAGGTAGGGATTATCTATACTTTCTTATGACTTTTAATTTTGTTATTTGATATTTCTAAAACAATATTGTGATTTGGGGATTTTTTAACAAACCTAGGATTTTAGTTTAAAAATCAAAAGAGAGGTTTTCAAATAGATTCTTGAAAATGGTTGTGGGATTGGAAATGCGGTGGAGTTGTGATAAAATGGTTGGTTTTGATACTTGGAATTGATTGTGGAAGAAAATGGGGTTTTTTTCCCCTAAATATCTCAAATGTTGGAAATGTGAAATTGGGTTGATATTGATGAGGTATGTATTATCACTCAAATCTTGGAATTTGGAAAGTTTATCTTTATGGAAATTATTTATTCGTTTAGAGATATCTGTTTTGGACTATCGATGGAGGATAGCTATAATTTTGTAGAAATTGCATGAGAATTAGGAGAATTGAAACTATTTTTTCATCCATTGCATTGAGCATTTTGCATATTTAACTCATTGAAAATGTTGTTGTTTTGAAAAAAATGGATGAATGCCTTGATGAATCTAGGTAGGAGTGTAGTTATTGTATTAAGTTGGCCTGTGTGTCCTTACTGAAAGTCCAGAAACCCACGCAGTTAGGTGTCAAGCCTTCCTGTTAATACCGGTAAAAATGGTAATTTGATAGTGCTTGTAGCCTACTTGCAAACACATCCCAGAGATTTACAGTGTTGTATTTATTGCCTTGTTTTCTATTGTAAAGGAAATAATATCATGAATTGTAATATAATCTTGGCATTGCATGGTTTTGGAAGGAGAAATGAAAATGTTTTGGCACAAGCATTGCATATGCATTTACCTTATAACTTTGTTAAGATTCACAAACTGTGTTGTAGTTTCTCTATTGGGTTTTGGCCCACCCTACATAGGAAACCATTTACAAGTACTGATAATATGCCTCCGCCAAGGCAATAGCTTCGGAGGACTTGGAGCAAGAGCTTCATTTTTGGTTACTAGTTGTAATTATTTTGTACAAGCCTAGGGCTTTATCTGTATTGAGTTTAAAACTCACTTTTGTTGTAACCAAGCATTGTCTTAGGAAGTTGTAAGCCTTTAGGGAATTTATTATTTCTTTTACTCTTATTTCATATCTTTAACTTGCAACACATGCGATAAATTCAGGGTTAGGACTTGTGAATGTATAACTGCATGTGCTATGTTTTGTATCACGGAATCATATGAAATGGAAGGATACTTATTTCAAAAAACTATATTTATAAATCGTTGTCATTTATTAATATTATGGATGGTTTATTATCTTTAATTTCAGGGTGTTACAACTTGGTATCAGAGCGTACCAGATTTGAAAACTTTAGGTACGTGGGGAGTGATGTTTTCCATAATGGGTTTATGTCACTTGATAGAGATATTTGTATGTATGGTATGAGATGTGATAACATGTTTATGTGGCTAAATGTGTATGAAATTTAGTTTCTACGATGTTGATTGGGTCTATAAGTTTTTAGAAGTCCTATTAGAAGAGCACTTGATCACTGCTATTTTTAAGTAGAACTCTGGCAACGTCACGGGACGATCATTACCAATAAAGGAAATTCGTATGTGTTTACGTGATTGTGTGCTTATGTGGAGTGAATTAATTGTTGTCCATCGCTTTAGGACATGAGTGAGGTAGCTTTGGAACATTTGTGAATGTGTTAATCTCTGGTGTTACCTTTATTAGGATGTCAGGACGTGGACGTAGTGGTTTTAGGCATGTCAGGCCTAGACGGAAGGAGGTGTCATTACTGGGTAAAATTTCGACGTAGGACAAAGGGGTTGGTCAGGCTAATGTGGCTAAATCGGTTGGTCAACAAGCCATGGGTGCTTTGCCCCATGAAATGGCCAGAGTTTTGCAGGAATCTATGGACATTCTCAGGGCTAAAAATCAAGTCCAGGCCCATGTTACTGAGACATGGCATTCTTTCTTGAAGAGGGAGTTCTTCCAGTTGAATCCGAACAAGTTTTTTGGGGATCCAAAAAAGCCTTTGAAAGCTGATAAATGGCTCGAGCAGATGGTGAAGACGTTTGAGATGCTTGGCATCGAGGATGATGGGTTGAGAGAGACCTTGGTATCCTTCCAACTGAAGGAAGATGTGGGTCAGTAATGAAAGTTTGTGTGGGGGTACATCGGCGTGACTTGGGAGGCCTTTGTCAATGCCTCCTAGGATAATTTTTCGCCTCCTATTGTTAGGGAGAAGTTGAGGGAGCAGTTATTGAAGCTTAAGCAGCTTAACACACCAGTGGCCGAGTTTAAGGCTACCTTTACTAGTTTATCAAGGTTTGAGAAGAGGTTGAGGACCAGACTCCTTTTTAAGGTGGCTACATCCATGATTAGGGATTACAATTGGCTTGTGGAGATGGCGATTCACTTAGAGACAGTGATTCTGTAACAACCCGACCCTCATATATGCTTGTGATATATGTCCGTCCTTTATTCTGTGCTGTTAAATGCCTAAAATGAAATTGTCCAAGGAAATAAGTTCAAGTAACTATGTTGTGATGCCTTATGAAATGAATTGCATCTGTTAAGAAAGAAATGTATCTGTCACTACTAGAACGATGAAGTAGAAATTGAGGGCCTTAGCGGCTTAATAAGTCAAAATTGACCATATATTTGGAACCAGCATAATTTTTAGGTAATATTAAGCACTTTTGTGAAATTTCAATTTTCGGATGTGTAAACGATAGATTTTCGTCTCATTCTCTCCTTATGGATATATATATATATATATATGTGATCTTAGTCATTTGACAAACCAAGGAACTCATAACTTTAGACTTGAGAAGTGAAGGGATAGAGAAAGAAGGTCTTCAAGAAGGTTAAGATTGGGCTTAAGGTATGTAATTGTTTGTCTAATGTCCATCTACAACCCTTCTTGTTATAATTTATGTGAAGATGCTTCTATAATCTTGTTCCTAAGGGTTGGAATTGTAGTGATGTGAGTATGAGAAGTAGTAAATTAGCAAGATGATCTTACCTTGCATGTTTTGACTCAATTTGAAGTATCTATGAGAAATTTTACTCTATTTCTTCAATTGACTTGTTTGGATTCAAGTATGTGGCATAATTTTATGTTTAGAGTTGAGATGTGAGAACAAGTAGGAACCTTGTGAATGGGAGTGAAGTTAAATTGTGGATTTATGATTTGATTTTTACTTAAATGGAATGTGTAATTTGATCCTTGTTCACATGTATTCATATGCTTTAAGCTTGTATATTGGTAATTTAAAGCTGAATTTTGAAGCCCTAACCATGTTTACAAGGGGAAGAAATTATGCAAAAATTTTGAACTTTTGATGCAGAATCGCCGCACGTGCGGGGCCTAAGGCCGCACGTTCGGGAACCTCAGCCGCACGTGCGGGAAAATGGCAAAATTTCGGAGTTCAACACTGCTAAAAAGGCACGTGCGAGACCTCAATGCCGCACGTGCGGGAGATCCTAGCCGCACGTGCGGCTCAAGCCAGAAAAATCGGGATGCTCCGTTTTGCGTGTTGGGTCCTCTAATGTTGTCAAAACCTACAATTTATATTGTTTGAATGTTCGTTAATTTAAGTGAACCGAATATTGATTTAACAAGGATAAAAAGGGACTAATGTGATTTTTCATGTGTGTAGGAAACGCCTCAAAAGGAAGTGCACCGACACAACACAGTGAGTGATAGTACTTCAATGTATCTCTATTCAGTATTTATTTTATTGACGTTGTGACCCTTGTTGAAAGTTTTATCACATTATGTATAGACGTTACATCTTGACATTACGAACTTCACTATCAAACTTGTGTTGGCATGAATTGATATATTTGCTATAAGTGATTCAATACGAAATTGTGGAAACATTGAAAAAGGTTGTGAAGTTCTACACATCTTGTGTGGAAGCTTGTC